TCTTACTATATTAGCTATGTATTTAGCTAAGCATAAGAAGGCTAACTATAGACTTCTTATTAAGAATAATATATTAGACTCTTACTAAGCTTAACTAGATTAACTAAAGAGTAGCTAGAAATAATAGCTTAAGTACGCTACTACATAGTACTAAAAAAATATAAAAAATAAAGTTTAGCATTCTTCTAGAGATAAGATATACTACTATACTAGTTAGCGTATATTATAATACTAGAGAATTATACTTAGTATAAGTAGTAAGAGTATCTAGAGTATTTAAGAGCGTCTTAATAATATATGTCTTTCTAGTTCTACTTACGCTATTAAGATTAACTAGTAACTATGCTAGAGAGTTACTATTTAGATACGCTATATAGTAGTTAACAACAAGGTTATAAAGAAGTTGCTATTTAGCCTAAAGAGTATTAGGCGAGGTATTAGTCTAGATCGCCTAGTTAACTAGATAAGACCTTTTTAGATCGGCCTAATATGTAGCAGAATTAAGGTTAAAAGAGTTAATATACTCTTTAACGTGCTAGTTCTTCGCGTAGTCTATAGAGTAGTTACCTAAGTAGTCTTCGTCTATAGAGACCCTCTTAGACTCTAGTTATTAATTTGCGAGCTCGTTAAAAGACAGTCTCTCTAGTAGTAATATATTCTTAAAATTAGAGTTATTCTTATTAGCGCTAAGATCTAGATTGCTATAGAAGTTCTATATAGTATAGGTATAAACGCTGTAATAGTAGCTATAGGTAGAAGTAAAAGACAAGAACTAGCAATTGTTAAAGGCCTAGACGTTCTTAGGTTAACGGAAAGAGTAATAAAGTATAAGCTTTACTCTAGAGAACTACTCTAGGTTAGCTACTGCTAAATATTGTAGGTAGAAATTTAAAATCTAAGCTTTAGCTCTAGAGCGAGGTTTGTACTTAATATAGTTGTAGTATAGAAGAAAGTCTAAGTAGAAAACGTCTTTATAGAAAGAAGGTTACTCTTAGTACTTCTAGAGAATACTTTAACTACTCTAAAAGAAGACTCTATTAGTATTATTATTGTTACCTTCTAGCTAACTAGAATTATTGTTCTAGAAGATAAAAGTTCTAGGTTAACTATTAACTAGGCGATAGTCTACGTA